GGCACTACTTCAAGGTAGTAGAACCTGCAGAGGTAAGTACAAGTACTCAGATCAACAGTGTACCTGGTTAGTGCTCATGTGTTCTCTCTCTCTCTCTTTCTCGCTCTCCCTCTCTCTCTAGCTCTTACTCTCCCCAGATGTCATGAGAGGAGCAGCTTCCTCCATCTGCTCCCACTATTATCTACTTTCTCACTACAGGCCCAAAGGCAACAACAAGAGTGTCTGAAACCATGAGGCAACATAAACCTTTCCTCCTTAGAAATGGATAATCTCCAGTATTTGTTATAGTACTTCAAAGTTGATTAGCAAAGACCCGCATATCCTAGAGTCTCAATCACATCCCAACAGCAGCATCCTGAAGAACAAGTCCTTGACGCACAAGCCTTTGGGTGACAGTCAACTTGAACCTATAGTGTTTATCCATTTTCAGTTGAATTTGTTTCATTGACTATTAAGAAGAGTGTAGCTGTATAGCCACATCCAAGTGTTTGTATGAATTCAAGTGTTTAGCTCTCTTGGCTACAAGTCTGGGAACAGAATTGTTGAATCACGTGTTCAACTATGTTATCTCTGTTCAGCTCTGCTGAGAAACTGTCAGGCCGTGTTCCACGACAGCTGCACAACTTCAGGCACCACTGTGTGTTTCACATTCCTTTCCAAGTTCCCACATCCTTGCTGAAACGTTTTCACTGTTTTTGATTCTAGTCATCCATAACATTCTCATTCTCTTTATCCCCCTCCCCCCACCTCAGATGGTCTTGAACTTTTAAAATAATTTTTAAATTAATTTTATCTTATGTGTATGAGTGTATTGCCTGCATGTATATTAGTGCACCTGTGTCATGCAGTGCCCGCGGTGGCCAGAAAACAGTGTGGAATTCCCCTGGAACTGGAGTTACAGACAGTTGTTAGCTGCTTTGTGGGTGCTGGGAATTGAACCCGGCTCTTCTGCAAGAGCAGCCAGTGCTCTTAACTGCTGAGCCATCTCTCCAGCCCCTGGTCCTGGACTTCTGATCCTGCTGCCTCCACCTCCTGAGTGCTAGGACTGGCATGTGCCAGTACATACAGGTTTATGTGGTGCTGGGGGTTGGGTAACATCAGGACCTTGTTGTGCATCCAGGCAAGCACTCTACCAGCTCAACTAAATCCAAGCTCAACTCCCTAACTTTAAAGAGTGTAACTGAAATCATTCTAAGACCACAGGATCTGAATTGCTTTTCTGCTCTTTTTTTCAATGCTGGGGATTTGAGCCCAAGGCCACAGACATGCCAGATTAGCACCCTACCACTATGCCACATCCTCAACTGATTTTCTGATAAAAGCAGAAATATATACATGTGTTGGGGACCCCTGCTGTGTTAAGTCAAAGTCTCTCCATGTCCGGATAGCCCAAGGGGCTCGGAGTTTATGCAGAGACTCCTTTTCTCAGCGGGGCGCCTTCCTACTCTCTTCCTGACTCATCTTTGAAGTAGCCTTCACAGATACATGGCCTCTGGCATAGGAACTGCCAGGTTTTCCTCTGTGATAATCAGATAACGTCTGGCAGCCTGGCAGGAGCCCACCACCACATGTAAATAGGGCATCCTAAAAGCACCTATCAATTAAGGCTTTTACCACTGCCCCCACAGTATAAGTATCCTGGTTTCCCCTCAATAAATTGGAGCTGGATCACCAAGACTTGGAGCTGAGCTAAGTCACTGAATAAAAGGGCTGTACCACTGACTGAGCTGAGTTCTGTGTCTTACTGCCTACGATCCAG